ATTCCATAGAAATCCTTTCGAAGTTTCCTGCAAATTTTTACGTAATTGTAAGTAAAGGAACTAAACCAAAATTGGTATTTTTCTGTGCTATAAAACAATATAAAAGTGGTGTTAAATTAAATTTATCTGCGAAAAACGTCCGATTTGACTTTAATCAAAACCTGGAGATTCCCCTCCCCATCCATCTGTCAACCCGTCCAAAATATGTCAAAATTATCACCACGGCGCCCCCAATAAAGGTGTAGCACTGGCGAACGGCTTTCCCCCAAGATTGACGGCTTCATGCGGAAGAAAAAGTGCAATTTTTAAGAAAAAATGTTTCGTAGAAAAATAAGCGCATTGGCTTTGCGAATTTCGTAATTTGTGCATCGTAATTTGAATTTGTGTAATTTGCGGTCAAGGTACGAATAAAGGCCGCTGTTGGAACGTAATAATTTTGCCCTAATTATGATAAGCTTTAGAATGCGTGCGGAATTTTGAAGCGTACAAACGGCAAAAAAATTTCCAAGTAAGCGGAGAGGAAAGAAACTTTGGGCAATAATTTAAATAATATAAATAAAGTATGTTTTTTTAGTTTTTCTACTTATTCTTAACAAAAAAACTTACAGAACCCTATTAAACGCCATCAAATACCGAAATCCTAATAAATACCACTAAATGAAAAATATTAAATAAAATACAAAGCATGGCCGACTTTCTACGTCTTTTTTTAAGTTTTCCACTTGGAGCCTAGTTAGAATTATAGGCAAAATTTCGCCCCCGATAACGCCAAAGAACCAAAAAGATTTCATCTGATAATTCACATTACAATTCGAGAGACCAGTCACCATACAAATTTGTAGTGAAAAAAAGACGTGTTCCAAAAGCCTCCTTCCCGGTGGAAAAGCTTTGGTAAGAGTCTAGAAATCCCCCCAGCCGGCACCAACTTTTGTATCTCGGCCCCCCTTTGGGCTTGCGAGCTCTAAAGTATACCAAAATGTTCGCCGTAGGCTAATTAGTCAGACTACACTGCAGTTCAGTCGAAAAAGTAGCGAAAAACTAATATAAGGAAGGTAGAAAAGTTGAAAAGTCGGCTGTGGGGGTTTCCTAGACTTGAGCCAAAGCTTTAGTAATAATTTTTTGTTCCAATTTAATGCCGTAAAAACGATCTCTGGCAAAAAAAGATAAGTTTCATTAAAAATATTGGATAAAATCAGGGGGCAAGGCAGAAAAAGTTGTGTGTTCCAGGGCGGGTATGCCCCAAATCCTGCAGGCTCCCAGGGATCCGAGACAAAAGTGGGAGCAAGAGAGAGAGGAGATCGAGGAAAAGGACGATCAGTCTTTCGCGCAATCTCTTTTAGGGGAAGAGAGAGAGAGAGGAGAGAGAGAGAGAGAGAGAACACGGCTATCACCTGGGGGGTGGCCCATTACGGGGGCAAGAAAAGAAGGGGGATTCCGCGCGGCACCCCTCTACTACACACACAAACATTCCTTACGCAACCATCCACAATCCATTGAAGGGGATGGGATGGGAATGTGGTATTCGGAACTGGTATCTAGGAACTTTGCGGGGAGACTTATGCCAGGGGGAGCTAGCAAAGATTTTTTGGGAATATGAAGTTTTACATGTCAATAATAATCGCGGCTTTAAGAATTTATCCAGGATTTTTCTTAAAACTACTATTTCACCAAAAAAAACCGGGAATGTTTTTGTAATTGACTCTACAGTCATTTATATCCAGTGAATCTAGGAAAATTAGGAGGAATCTCTCTCCCTCTCTCTCTCGCTCTCTCACTATATCGCTTTCTCTCTCTCGCGCGGTGTCTCTCTCTCCCGGTGTCTGTCTCTCCCGGTGTCTCTCTCTCTCACTCTCTCTAACACTAGGGCAACCAGCAGAGATCAATGACGAAAATACAAAAATCCGAGAGCCAGGGAATCCGAGCAACCACACACGGTACAATAGGTTGATACGGAAGCCGGGTTATCCGCGAAAGGCTGAAACACGCCTTCCGAACTCCAAAAATTCAAATTTAATTGAAGAATTTTGGGGCAGCACCAAAACTCAAATACAGGGCAAACGAGCCGAGATTATTGAGGAAAAGCGAGTTACGGAAGTGTACAGACAGCCAAAATTCCCGCAAGGCGAAATCCCGGCATATTTTTGGCGCTGGAATTTTTTTACATGTTTTCTTAAACACCTAGTTGCATGTCGGGGGATTTTCGCTGTCGGTATTTTGCTTTACCCCGAATTTAGCAATTTTATATTGGATTCGCTCCACGTCAACCAGAAAAAATTTTATTTTGCGAAAAATAGTTCCTAAATTTGTGTTTTTGTAAATTTTTCACTTTATTTATTGTACAAAAATAAATGCCTGTCGAAATTTAACAATTTTCTAAAGGATATCTCTAAAATACATGCTCTGCAATTTTAGCGGAAGGCAAGCGAGCAGAGATCGTGACAGATTTTACATAAATTATGGAATGTTGCGATGTCGTGAAAATTAAGACACAAAAATCAGTAGATCTTTAAAAATTTTTGGAACATAGTTTTTTAATTTAAAAGTATGCTATAGATTCGTTTAGTGTTTTTCGAAAGTGACCGCTGATCGATTAACGCAAAATGGCGCAGGCAATGGAAAGAAAAAATGGGGGATTTCGTGGAGAGAAAATGGCGCAAGTACAGTTTTTCCGGGACACCCGGGATTTCCGACTGTCTACCTCAGCGGGCGGCTCCCGAAAAAGGAGACACAATTCCATTAGGGGTCTCTCTCTCTCTCCCTCTATCTCTCTCTCTCTCTCGCTCTCTCTCTGTCTCTCTCTATCTCTCTCCCTCTCTCTCTCTATCTATCTCTCTCTCTAGCTCTCTCTCTCTCTCTGTCTCACTCTGTCTCGCTATCTCCCTCTCTCTCTCTGTCTCGCTATCTCTCTCTCTATCTCTCTCTCCCTCTCTCTCTCTCGTTCTCTCTCCCCCTCATTACCTTCCTGCACGAATTAACCCAGACAATTTACCAACAATAAATCACGCTCGTGGATCCTGCGTTTCTTTGAAACATCATTTTTAGCTCAAGTGGCAACGCCTCAACGTCTCCAACTCCCAAATGCAGCAATGTCAGCGCGCCGAGCACCAGGTGCGTAGGCTTGCAGGGGGTTTTTAAAGATTTTAATCCTGTTATCCCGCAAATACTCTATCAGATCACGTTATATTTTCGATCCCTTCGGTGGAGAAATTAGCGGCAAAACCCCGCCTCTAGCGGTTGTGATGAACTAAAACATATCTTTTTTTGTGTAACTATTTTTCAATGTTGTTTTTGGAATTTCGATATTTTCCCAAATCCAATCGGCCGGGGAGGCTGACTTTTTTCCAGGGTTCAATAATGCCATAATTTCATAATTTTGAAATTTTGCATAAACGAATTTCGGGGAACACTCTAAACACTATGCAAAAACTCGGCATTAGCAAATTTCGCTATGATATGATTACGTTATTATAAATTTCGACATATTTCCCCCGTTGTTCTAGTAAAAACTAAATCAGGGCAAGCTAGCATAGATTTTTGAGGAATTGTAGAAATTTGTGCCAAGCGTCCATTACCGGGTGTTTTCCAATTCTCTTCAATCTACTATCAACTATGTCAGAAACTGGCCTACCTTCCTGTACCGAAACACATTTTTTTTGATCCAACGGCACTCATTCCGGATTTTGCCCCCCGTATACAACCGCTAGCTTTTCCTCTGGCTCTCTCTCTCTCTCTCTCTCTTTCTCTATCTATCTCTCTATCTTCTCTCTATCGCCGGCTATGTCCGGGTAATAAAATAGGCCGAGCAGCCAAAGTGATTGCTGTCTTATCGAGTGGCCCACGTTTGGGCAAAACGCCCCTTTGACCATCGGTTTTTGTATAATTAATATTTTAAGGAGTTTTTAAGGTAGACTAAGTTATTTTAAAGATATACAAAGTCGGAACTTCCATCCAGATATTTCGGGTTTTGTTGATGCGCAGATACGCAAAAATGTTTCAAAAACTTCTGTAGTTAGTTAATGAATTACTCCGAGTATGGGAGGTTTCGTTTGCCCATCAATAACTTTTTATACTTCACGAAATTATTATGTTGCAGTCGAGGAAATAGCTACCCAAATTTTAATTAGAAAAATGTTTTAGGAGGTTTTGTGATAGTTTTTTTTAATTTGCCCAATAATTAGCCGTGCTTTCGAAGCGTTCTTAAATAATTATGCTCCACGAATTTTTTTCAATGAAAATAATGTTTAATTTTGATAAAAAATGTTTTATAATGAATGCTTAAGGTATACCAAGTAAGTTTAAAGAAATTCACCAATCAGCATGACAATCCAGATATTTCTGTTTTTCAAATTGCGAAAAAAGTACATATCAGATTGGCTAGTTTTGAATTTTGCCGATAATTCCGCGTGCTTTTTGAGATAAATTAGGCAAATGTACTTCTGAAATTTATAAGGTTTTTAGTGAAATAATAGGTATGAATTTTAAGAGAAATTAAATTCAATGTTTCAGGCAATTGCTTGCTTGCTGCTTTAATTTCCCCAATAATTCAGCGTGCCTTATGATCGCACTTAACTAACTTAACGAATTTATTAGGTTTTATTAAATAAGAATTCTTGAATTTTAATAAAAAATGTTTAAAAAAATTGTCTCCTGACTACCTGAACTGCCCGAAGAATTGATCGAATCGCGTGCTCATAAATAACGTGTTATACTCCACGAATTTATTACGTTATAGTTATATGTATTTAATTTTAAGTCGAGAAATGTTACAGGAAATTGTCTGTTAACTTTTTTAATTTATCGAACAATTCCACGCGCACTGTTTTCTGTTTCACGTCTTTACTAATTATGCCTTATTACGCGTGAATTATACGTATCTAATCTGACAAAAATTAAAATTTGAATTTAAGGTAGTGGTCGGCTTTCCTTTTTGCAATAATTCGGCTTGCTTCACCTAGCGTTTAATTGAAATAACACGATTTAATTTTATTTAGTTGCCAACAATGCCGAAACTCCACAACGTTTTGCTCCTATTGACGCTGGCTGGATACGGTAAGCCCACATTTCAAGTAATTAAAGTTTCGAAACGCAGCTAAATTGACAAGAAATCGAAAAATTCTTTTTTTTTCAGGCCTAGCAAGTCCAAAACAAAATTGACCAAAATACGTACAATTTATAACGAGACATCAACGAAACATTAGAACTTTTCCAAAAAATTTGATTTTTGGTTTTTTCGTCCTGGTTTAAAGCCCTTAAAAATGGCATTAAAATAAAAGAAAATGAAATTTAAATTTAGATGTGATCGTAAAAATAAAATCTCGACATAGGTTCTAGCCCAATATCGGGGCATCAACTTTTTCCTCAGTAGCCAAGGAAAGGAAGCAATCTTTCTAAACCCATTTTACTAGTGCTAAGCGTAAAAACTTTACAAATTTTTATTAAAAAATACCATAAATATAGATTTTCGACTAAACTTTTTAAAAAAACTTTTTTTACTGTGCGCTTCTTAGCAACTTTTCTAACCGGAAATATAGTTAATTTTGACGAAAAACGTTTACACAAACGTTTAAATACTTAATATTAAGTTACAAGGCATCTCTGGATTTATAGGAAAAAATTATTTCCCCCCCCCCCCCCCGATATTGCCAAAGCGCCAAAATTTAAATTACAGTATCGGCGCAAGAGAAATGTCTGGGCGACGATTGGCTCTATGATTCGTCGATGAACGCTTGCCTCCTCCCGGTTCTCCAGAATCTCACCTGGAGTGTAAGCTTTGAAACACTTTTTAGATGATTATGTTTTAATTTTTGTAAATTTATTCAGAGGTCGAATCCAAAATCCTGAAAACCGACGTTAAGTCTATAGTTTTGGAACATTTTTTCGAATACTCAGGAATTTTGTAAAATTTCACGAGCAAAGATTCTGAAGTAACTCTCGTTGTTTTTTAATTATTTTAGAAAATTGTTGAAACATTTTTTTATTTAAAATTGCAGATCTTTCTGTTTGTACCGATTTTTAGTCATAATCTATTTACAGCTTTGTCAAACAAGATTTTATTGATTGTAGGCTGCCGTTGCAAATTGCCAGCGCTATAATTCCACCCTGATGCCGCTGCGGAACCAGCTGGCCAATACCGTAGCCACCAGTAAGCTATTTTATTCAGTGATTTTTGGGAAGTCTTAAAAATCGAGTTTTAATTAGTAAAAATAGATTTTTATGATTTTACGGGTAGTATTCATTAAAAATATATTTCAGAAGTAATAAAAGCTTTATAACAGATAAAATTTGAGATTGACGCCAACATGAGTAGGAAAATGATAAATTACGGAAATTTGGCCGTTAAAGAATGTTTCGCCTTAAAATCAGCATAAAAATCTGCAATTCACTTTAAGATGTTACGGCCTCTATCACGCGTTTAGTCCCTATTTTCAGCAATCGTCGTCTACGACGCGGAGCGCGAGGATTGGTGGACGGGCGGGGCGAGGGCTGATTCGAATGTAGGGTAGCTATTTTTTTCGCATAATTTTTAAATAATGTAAAAATATATAATCATTTAGAATGCTTAAAATTGGTTAATTTATTTATACAAATTATATTACTTGTTACAATATTTTTGAATTTTACATTACAATACAATATTACAATATTTTTGGAAGCATGTAAAAGATCATCAACCAAAACAAAAAAAATCGAGTTTAAATTCAAGCTTCACAAAAAATAAAAACCTATTCAAATTTTATCCCCCTTGAAAATACCGAATTTTCGGATTTATAAGCGGCTTTGGAAATTTTTATTGGACAAATTCCAAGATTCCTTAAAAAGTAAAATGTTTAGTCTAAGGCGTTGATGAAACAATTTTTCAATAAGCCAATTTTTAGTTTCGTTCGGACACAGCCCGATTTAAATTCATGTTTAACCAATTGTAAAATACGGCCCATAATTTGCTTTTTTAGGTTTATAACAAATTTTAAATAATTATTTAACAAGTTTGATTCTCATAAGTTTTGCTATTTTGACATAACAATAATCTTATTATTTTATTCTGGCATAAATCTTTGGTCCCTTGTCAGTATAATAAGAGCTTGATTTTCGCCTATAGTCCAGAAATAGTAAATAGTAAATTAGTAGAGTATTTTAAAGATGTTTTTAGCAAATAAATAACTATATTTCCACCGGAAAAACTGTGTAAAAAATTTTTTAGAAGCGTTGAAAAATGGAAACACTGGTGAAAATTCGACAATTTTTGGTTCGAAAATCGATACTTTTATAATTTTAATTAAAAATTTTGTTTTTAAGACTTATGATTTAACTTTCAAGTAATAATTTTAGGTTAAAAATAGTGAAAACCGTTGAGAAACACTGCTACTATTTGAATTAGTAAAATATGTAGATCCTAAGAAAAAAGTCCTTTCGATTCCCCGATGATGCGAAAGAACCGAAAATAGTATTGTTAGAACGCGTCCAAGAGATGCGAGAGGAAGATTCGGAAAAAACAGGGATCGTAAAGTTAGGATTTAGCAGAAACATTTATTTTTAATACGCTTTTTTATTATTTATAACACGAAAACTTTTCTCTATCCAATCGTATCCTTATTAAATTACCTTTCATCATTAAAACACTAAATAAAATATTTAGTTGTATATTAAATTTTTTTGAGAGCCAATTCCACTGGCTGGACGGCACGGCACTCACCTTCACCAAATGGCTCCCCATGTACCCGGATAAGCGTGAGTTTCACAAAAATCAGGCTATCATTGATTTTGGCAACTTTTAATCCTAGCCAGATCCATACTCAAAACCTTGGTAAAATTTGTTTTAAATATAACATTTAATCCTACTATATATAAAAAAATAGTGTCAGTGTGTGTGCATTTGAATGCAACTTCCGTCTGGGTGTACCATGTTGTTTTCGACATTAAAATTAAGTTTTTGTAAAAATCTCAGCGACCCTCTTTGTTAGGAAACAATTAGCATACCCCGGAAGTGGAGGTGGCATACAAAAAGGAAGAGAGGGCGTTGTTTTCATTTTTAGTGATCGGTTTTCGGCAAGAATTATGCAAGGTCACTACTTTCACAGGTCCCAGACGGGACCAGGGTTGAAAAGCCGCGAAGCGGTTTTTCAACCCTGTTTGGAGTTAATAAACTTGATTAGTTGCCGAGAATTTCGAGAAAATTAAAAACAAACAAGAAAAACCGAATTTAAAAAACTCGGAATTCCAGAAATTTTGATCGTCATGACACATTGCTCGGCTAATAAATTTAAGCCGAAAGTTTTATGCAATTACAGTTTGATGTGGCTCAAAATTCTGTTTCTGGAAAAAGCAAATGCTTGGAAATTCGGGATTTTTTGAGAGTACTTTTGTCAACTTGCTCCATTGAAGCGCTGCTTAAAAGTCGAATCAACGTTATTCCGATGTCGTTAAAACGCTATGTTTCAATTAATAATAAATCTATTTCAATTCTAGAAATTTCAATCGTCTTAACAGATCGCTCGGCTAATAAAGTCACGCTAAAAGGTTTATGTAACCATAATTTTTTCGGGTGTCATTCTGTTTTTCGAAGAACTAAATGTCTTAAAATCCTTAAATTCTAATTGGGCGGTTTTTTAGAGAAAATTTCTTTTTGAGAAACAAAAAACTCCATAAAGGTTATTACGGCATCGTTAAAACTATATGTTTCAACAAAAATTTATTACATTTCCACATGCTTGAAATTTTATTCGGCTTAAGCCTCGCGTTGATATTAACCTTACGCAAAACAATTAAGATAACCATAAATTTTTTGCTGATAAAATTCTATGTTTTGGAAACATTAATGTTCAAATAAAGTCCTTTTCTCAATTCGTCCTGTTAAAGCACCATTTAACACGCGCCGAAACTTTATTACGATGTCGGTTAGACGGACCCTGGTTGCAAAAAAATCCATCATTTATCAGATCTGGAAACTATAATGAATGATTGCGTGCTCATTAAGTCATCATATAACGCCGTTTTGCTATTTAATTTGCATTGAATAGATTTAACGATATTTTTTAAGATGATTTAAGATCAGGATTTTTTCGGCTGAAATTCTATGTTCTTCGAAAAAGCAGCTATCTCTAGCTTTTTCGAATCTCTACTCGGGTACACCGCGTCTGTTGCTATTAAAACACCGTGTTACAACCCTGGTTAAACATAATCCGCTCTGGTTAAGATTTTATGTTTCAACAAAAATCTATTCCACTAGATTTTCGGCTTTTCTACTATCTTTTTCTTTAGCCTTGGTTATTTTTCTAGGTCCAGAAATACCTCGAAAATTAATTTTAAATTTCATTTTAAGTGTTTTAATAGTGTTTTGATAACATCTACTTATATTAAAAGCGGAAAACAATCAAAAAAATTTAAATTTAGGTAGAAAAATGTTTTTTTTTATTTTTTAACAAAAACTGGTAAGGTTTTACGTTTCGAAATAGTCAAAAAAATAGTCTAGAAACACTTCCTTTTTGGTTCACACTTCCTAAATTGGGAAACTGAATAATAAGAAAAATTCTCCCCCCCCCCCGATAATGGAAAAGTACCAATTTTATTAAAACAACACCCTAATTAAATAATTTTATAAAATTAAGAAATTTTTTGCAGAAGTTGGCTCGGATTGCCTGGCCATCCACATGATAAACGCCATCTACGGAGGGTGGAAAAATGAGGATTGCAAACAAAAGATGCCGTCGATTTGTATTATTGAAAGTATGTTTCGTACTTTTGATGCGTATTAAATTGAGTTTTATGTTTTTATTTTTAAAATACACGATTAACCATTGCATTTAGATGCCGTTCCATTACCTACAGAAGATACAAAAGATTGCCCGGCCGGAAAGTACACCGATCCTAGTGGCTCTCTCAATTCACCTGGGTAATCATTTTTGGAATTCTTAAAAAAATGTTTCGAAATAATTAGGAGCACGCTGTCCTGATAGTGGATTAATATAGTAACAATCAAAGTGCGCATGTATTTTAATATCTATTTATCGGTATTTAATAACGCCTAGCCGTTTATTTTTGAAACAGATTTTATTAAAATCTTTGGGTTTTTGATATTTTTCCAATTGAAACATAGTTAAATTTTACTAAAAAAACTGTTAAATATCTAAGGTAAAAAAGGGAAATTGTTTCGAATTATTGCGGATGCCTAAACGCGAAAAACTGTGCAAAATTTGGACTTTCAAAAATACAAAAATATCGATTTTTAGACCAATATTTCAAAATTGCTGAGTTTTTCAGCTATTTTTTTCCAGTCTAGTTTGGTTAGATTTTTTTTCTATAACCCGTGTTAAATCAATGAATACGCATTTCTGGATTTATACAAAAGATTAGCCCCACCCCCGATGGTGCAAAAGAACCTAATTTCTTTTCAGCTGGCCCAGCAACTATCCCGACAATGCCGATTGTTATTACCAAGTTCAGGTGGGGAATTTGTTAATCAAAAAAAAAGAATTTTGGTATTTAACATGGGCAATCTAGCAGAGATTCTTTAGGAAATTTAATTCCCAGGTTTTTTTTAGGCACAGGGCAATTACCGACTCAACCTGACGCTCGACTTTTTCCAAACGGAAAAGTGCTGTGATTGGCTGTACATTCACGATGGGCCAAATGTGCAGAGCCCCAAATTGGCCAGGTTTCATTCTGAAGTGGAAATTTTAAGATTTAAAATGGTATTTAGATCGTTTTAAATGGGAAAAAGTGGAAAGTCAAAGCCACGACTAGAAAATGGAATTAGTTATCCGGCAAACCTTTGGCATTTGCAAGAAAATGAAACATAGTTATCGAACTTTCGTACATTCACCGGGATCGCACTGCAAAATTTTGGAAAGCGTGAATACGATGTAGCCGTAATACTAATTAAAAATTAGCATTTTTATATTTTTTTAAAAATTGTGACATTTAAAAACGGCATTCAGTCTGCGAGGCGCTGTCGCGAATGGGACGTCGTTCCTGTCGTCCGGCAATTCGTTGACCCTCCGCTTCACCTCGGACGAAAGCAATAATGACAAGGGATTCTATGCACATTATTATACCGTATAAATCATTTCCATCCTTTATTCCTGACAATTACCCTACATCGATACATTTCTGCTTGCTTAAGATTTTAAAATAAGATTGTAAATAGTTTGGAAAGCCCAGTGACAGCCCTTTCTCAGACGCCACCCATCTGGCCCATTACAGCCAGACAACCGCTACCGCCCCTCAACGCAGCAAGTCTTCAGTACGGGTCGATTCTGATCTGCAACTGAATATGATGAACTCGGGAAATGACCCAAAGTGAGTTACAGCCCACGGTGCCCCGTGGCCGCAACCCCACGGGGTGATCCTGTTACTGAAACAGTTGCATAATCGGCACTGAAGACTAATTGAATTTTAGAACGATCTTCGGATCATCAAAAGATTTTGCTTTCATTCCAGTACACTAGCTTGCGACGCGGAATTTGGTGTTATAAAATCAATTAAACTTGATTTGAAGTGGGTTAATTTCTAAATGGTGTTACGATTGCATTCACGCTTTCCAAGATTTTGCAGTACGAGTCCGGCAACGGTTAATATGTTTTAGTTATTTGGAGGTGAATTATCAGTATATCAATCGCATTTGGTTCGAGTCGTGATTCTTTAATTTTCTACTTTTCGCGTTTAAAAGCTGTAAAATCTCGAACATTTAGATTTAACGGCTTCTGTATCGACTTTGCTCGAAAGTCGGGTCCGATAAACAAACAAATCGTTTGAAGATCCGAAGATCGTTCCAAAATTCAAATAAAGTCTTCAGTGACGGTTATCCAACTGTGTCAGTAACAGGATCACCCGTGGGTTGCGGCCACGGGGCACCGTGGGCTGTAACTCACTTTGGGTCATTTCCGAGTTCATCATATTCAGTTGCAGATCAGAATCGACCCGTACTGAAGACTTGCCGAGCTGGGGGAAGAGTGGCACTTGTCTGGTGGGAGCGGACCAGGTGGGGGCCGATTGGGAAAGGGGCGGGGAGCATGCGGGGAGCGCACAGGGAAGGGGGCGGGGCAGTGGGGACGGGCTTTCATGGGGAAGGGAGAGCGAGAGAGCGAGAGCGTGAGAGAGAGAAAGAGAAATCTTTGTACCAATTAAACTATTATAAAAGCCTAACTTAAATGACTTAGTTTAATTTCAAAGAGGTATACTAAAAGTATGTCTTCTTCCTAGCCAAATCATTACAAAAAAATATATTTCAATACAGATTTAATTGTGTTAACATGATTTTCAAACGTAATAAACAATACCTGAATTCAGACTTATTAACCGGATTAACGTCTATTTAAAAACCATCTTGCGCCCACCTCTATTAATTTTTTTTGGTTACAGAAATAGTAATAACTCACAATTTCGATCTTCATGCCATTTTTTAAACTATCATGTTATACGGATATAACGATAAATCTAAATTAAACTAGTTAAATTCAACGTTAAAATTTCGTTTTTTTTTATCTGTTGATGATACCTGCAAAGGAATGTAACCTTGAACAGTTCTCATCTTTATATATTTTTTAGTAATGTAACTATATTTCTCTACATTTAATAGAAATAATTTTCACTTTTTAGCGCTATTTTTCACCGGCCCGCAACCCGACGAAACGTTTCGTCAGTTGCCCCTTCTCTCTCGAAGGGGAAAGCGGCCCCTGTGCGTTCTCTGAATGTTCCCCGCCCCGTCCCGACTCGCCCCCCACCTAGCCCTCTTCCCCTCCATATCATCCCTCCCCTCCACCCCAAATTTGAAATCATACTTCATAGGATCATTTCTATAGTATGCATTTCACTATACCCACTAAATTGCGACACCTCGCACCCACCGATGATTGGGTCTGAGGCGAGTGGAGAGCGGGAAGAACGGTTTACCCCTTTCAGGGTGGTACTCCGCTGAGGACCGCGTCCATTTCCGGAACCGGATACGGACAACCACTTGCCTCCCTGAGGGGGAAAGAGGAGAGCAAAAAGTGAATTTTGGACGTGGCTGAAGGGCCAAAAATGAGGCGAAAAGAAAAGATGCACTACGAATCCGCCATTTTTATCAAATTACTGGTTGGTGATTGTTACCGTAAATTTGAAATTTTAATGCGTTTATATTAGAGTTGTTATCGACCCGGGTCGAAACTCGGGTCGGGTCGAAAAGGCTCACGCAGCGGAAAATTGTTCAGGTTCTGCGTGCGGCGGTCCACTTCCCCCCATCCCTTTTGCCCGTTCTCTGTGATTCTAGCACAAAAACTTATAGTTTAACAACTCAAAATGTAGGAAATGATCTCACAGAATCAAAACTGAAGACGAAGTAGCGGAATTCTACTTTAGAAAAAAGTTATGAATTTACAAAAGTTTTTGCTGCGGGAAGCTTTTCGCCCGACCCGAGTTTCGACCCGGGTCGATAACAACTCTAGTTTATATTGGTCTTATACCTTGGTTTTATTTTTGGCCTTTCCACTCACCGGAGACATTGATTTTTGAATAAACTCTTCACGGTTAGTTTTGACGTTACGGAAACATTATGTGATGTTTCAGGTGTTTTAAGGGTCGATGTTGCAAAAACATGATTAATCGATCTTTCTGAGCAAAACCGCGTGCTATATTGGTGGCTTTTCAAATCACCCGCATAACCGTTAAAATAAAATAACGCTACGTTAAAATAACCGTTATGACAGCTCGAATCGCAAAATTTTATCGTATTAATTTCCAGTCCTAGCGGTGAGCTGGTATGGATCGGATTGGCTCCACGATTGGTACCTTGCACAAATTGTAAAAAAGAATCTTGGCATTTCTTCGGCTTTATTTCTTAATCCTCCAAATTCATTCAATGCTTCGCTCTGGTTTTCTCACCCGCCGCTTCCGGTCGAAGGCGATACAAAAGGCCGTCAGAGGACACGGCGGTACCGAGCAGTTTACCTAAAATTTTTTCGTATTCGTTTGATCTATAGCGGTTTAATTTATTTTTAGTGATTTTTGATTACGTTTCGTTTTATCGTCCGCATTCTCAGAAATGTAACACATTACATACCTCCTTCGTTACGCATTGGCTCCCGGGAGGACAAGCGGCATCGATACACGGATCCGTGAAGCCGCTGAAAATATTCGCTTTAGGAAAAATTTGTTAAATGCTTCAAAGATTTCACGAAAATGACTTACGACCCGAACATTGACGGTTCGATTTGCGGGCATTCGTACGAGTGAACACACAATTGTCGCGTCGTGTCCCGCTTCAGTCCAGGGGCACAAACGCAAGCCGGCCTACCACACGGCGCCTTGCAGGCCTGTAACGAGGAGAAATGTATAGCTTATTCCAAGTTTCACGAGTTTTAAGGCTGTCAAACGCTAATTCGGTGCTAATGCAGTTAGAGGCGGGGCAGTCCAAAATTGGTAGTAAGAGGTCGAGGCCAAAATGGGGTCATTTATGGGTTAACTAAGCTTAGCTGGGCTCAAGCTAAGCTCAGGCTTCGTTATATGAAGCTAAGCATAGGCTTGGGCTTAGCTTGGCTTTTCCAGAAGCTTCGATTTTAAAAAACGGCATTTGGAGTGTCTCGTAGTCAAATACAGACTGCCCCCCGCCAAGTGCATTGGCACCGCTAATTCAAGTGAGAATTATAAAATCGATGCTAGCCTTCAAAAGTGATGGTTTTTAAAGGCATGTACAATTTATTACTTTCGAAATCATTCCCGTTGTTGCTCAATTCAAGGAAAACATTTTGCTTTTTCTGTATGAGACTAATCTAACGTTTTCGAGTCTCTCTCCCTCTCAGTACCTCCGGAAACGTCAAAGCGGAAAGCCTATTTCCCTACCGGATCATGATAAAAGCAGCTAGGCTCACAGGCATTCCCGCATTCAGCGTACACTTCTTTGACGCCACAATCTGAAATAGCAAAAAAAACTGGAGCGAACGCGCTTTAATTTTGGTGCACCGTCGCCGAGGAAAAGCAGGAAACCCATCCAAATCCTGCTTGACGCTCGGTAAACCCGTAAAAAAACGTTTTGAAACCGACGTATTGCACTCGGCGCCTTCACTCGTCGCTTATTCATCGGCTTCTTTTCTGCGGCTATAAGGTGCGGTCCTAAAAGCTGAGTTTTCACGAACGGCAAGAAGCTAACCGTTTTCGGTGGGATTTCTAACGCACCACTCAACGCCCTTCGAATTCAGCACTTTATAGTAGCCTGCCCGGCACACTGTTCGTTTCAGGGGCGCTGCAACTTTATAAGATATTTAAAAAATTCGTCGCCACAAATTACCAGAATCCTTCGATGACAAATGCTCGCTTTTATAGCTAAAAATTCAATCCTAAGGCCTACCCGGCGTTTCCAGCTCATCACCATAACTATTCTGACGGCAGTAACAGAAAGAAATGAGATGAAATAGCAAGTAAACCACCGGCATTCGGAACATCGAAATAGGTTAGAGCTGTGCGAGCAAACGCGTTCCTCTACTACTGCGTGATCGCGATCCTAAACCGCTACAGGTTTCCGTCTTACAGGGTCAAGTGCTTTGGGATAATGCTTTTTTGAAGAAAGCCCATCCTCCTCCATTCAAAAAGAACCCGAGCGCCAACCTACATCGTTTCTGGGGCACCAACCGCGGAAGGTTTCAAAGCCACTATGGCGTGCACAATTGCGAAAAATCTCATTCCGTGTCTTTTAACCTCTCTGAAGGAAAATATAAGCAAAACAATTTATCAACAATGAAAACAGAAAAGTGCTTTATTTCTTCTTGCCCTTGCCTCCCTTCGGCTGCTCCTCGACGACGAGCGTATCGTGGCATCGGCCGCAGGTGTGTCGGTTGTTGTGGGCGGCCATGAAGACGCCACCGCCGCAGTTCTGGCATTCCTTGCGTAGACAGCTTGATTCCATCTCCGGTGACCTGGAAAACAAGAATTAGTGGCTAAATTTCACTTTACGGTATGGTCCCAAAATGTCGATTTTTCGACTGGAATCGATCCAGCTCGATGAGTTTGTGCGTTTCCAGTTGAAAAAACGATTGAGAAGCTACTTCTGGACAAAGTTATTAGCTTTTGAAAATTGACCAAAATATTAGACTTTTTAAAGGGGATTGCTAGCTGAATACCCAATTTAAGCTTAAAAATAAGGCTTCGTGCCACTGGGGGCCTAGTCGCTTCGGATGGGTGCGAGCTCGTACGGGGTTTCGAAATCAGGGCGCCCGAGGAGCGCGCAGCGCCAGGCGCCCCGATTTCGGAAGAGTGGAGCGGCAGCCCATCCGAAGCGACGGCCCGCCTTGCCTGACAATGTTGGAGGCCACAACTAACTGTTATTTATTTATTCTATGCTTAAAATACTAGTTTTAAAAATTCTAAATGCTTTTAGATAAGTACGTAAGCGCTGGCTGAGAGGGCAGCGCTAGAATGCGGGGATAGGAGTGTTGCGTAGCCTACAGTCCTTAGCAAAAATATCTTTGAAACGTCATAACTTTCTTATTTTAAATTTCCCAATTGTTTTTCAACTGAAAACGCTTTATCTCATCGAGGCTTTATCGTTTCCTGTTCAAAAATTGAGGTTTGTTCACATACCGTAAAGTGAACTAGCGATTTTCAAAAGCTTATAACTTTGTCCAGAAGCCTTTCCCAATCGTTTTTCAACTGGAAACGCACAAACTCATCGAGCTGGATCGATTCCAGTCGAAAAATCGACATTTTGGGACCATACCGTAAAGTGAAATTTTCCCGATTAGTAAGGGTTTGAGGAAGTTTTCGCGAAACACATGGCTACCGAGGTAATGCTTCAAAGAGAATCATCCCAGCCGCGGCACCAGTCATACCCTCGCAACAAAATAAATTACCTCGTAGAACTTGAGGACGGCGAGCTTGACCTTCTTCCTCTTATGCTTGTTCTTCTTGGGCGTCGTGTAGACCTTCTTCTTCCTCTTCTTGGCACCTCCGAGCAGACGGAGCGACAGGTGATACGTCGACTCCTCGTTCAGGCCCTCATCATCCTCCAGCTGGCAGCCTAAATAGCACAGGAATCAAGAGCAATTAGAACAAAATGCACTTGCCGACCCGTCCTCAAGCAAACACGGATGATTCGCTATGGTTAGCACGTTCTTTGACCAAATTTTTGCAAGAGAAAACCATAACGAACCGCCCGGGTCGCTCTCAAGATACAACAAGTTGCCCATAATCAACATTCATAAAAATACCGTTGGAAATGATCCGCTGCCCCTCGGCGGAGATGCCCTGGGACTCGGCGAGGCGGAGCTCAGCGTTCCACGGTGTCATCGGCCCTCGGTCGAGACCGTGAGGATTGGCCCCCTCAACGGTTCGGACGAATATCATCTCCCAAGCCTGAAAGAACGGAAATTATCAAAGGCACCGCAATAATAAAAACATAGGCGCAGAAAACAAAAAGTAAATTCGTGAATTTTAGGGGAGAAGGGCCGAAACTTTGACGAAAAATAGGATTGCGGGAAAAGGCCGGGCGCTTTTCTCGCCAGTTCTTTGGTTAGCTACGGTCGATGGGGCGCGGGTTAGCAAGCAGCCCGGGCGCCGGGAATCAAAAATTTTACAAAAAACCTTGAAAATAAAAATCATACTAATTTTATAAGAAAAGAAATATAAATAAAGAGGAATAAAAAGTGGTACATTTTTGGCGCTATTTCGGAATAGGGGACCCACTTTGATTACTCTAAAAACCACTTTTTCTGGTGTAATTTTGTGCGCTTGTTCTGAAAAACGGTATCCCAGCCCGTAAAAACGCACATTTGTACAAAATATTTTATCTTTATAGGATGTTTGCATGACAGCACGGGCGGGCTTGGCTTAGCCAGCACAATTGTGAGGCAACCCTCTTGGGTTATTATATTTTTCGGCTTGGGCTTGACTTCTGTCAGATTCATCTGGCTGGCCTAGGCTTGGTCTCAATGAATCTAAGATCGGGCTTACTAGCATTTAGCATCATTTATGCATGCGTTTTGAGCTTGAAAAACCGCTAGGAGTGTATGGTAGCCGACAGTTGGGCCTGCGCCGCTAGGCTCCCTAGAAGCCCATTAAACTGCAATCAATTTTTTTTGTGTGAAAATGTTAGGTTTTAAAGTTAGTATGGTGTTTTTCTCGGAACCAGCGCACAAAACTATCCAAGAAAGCATCGCACAAACCCCAGTTTTGGTACAATAAAAGTGGGTCCCCTATTCCGAAATAGCGCCACATTTTTTTGGTTCTCCTAATAGAGCAGCTGATTGTCATATCTATTCCCGGCCTTCCCCATGAAATTAGAATCCGGGATTTCCAAGCTGTTTTATAAAACCGGATATCCAAAGACACCATACATTGAAAAGTATATTTTCAGCCGTATGACGAAATACAATCATTCGCTTCGAAGCCTACCCAAGGATGGGCCGACCGAAGCCGACGCCAATTTCGGCCAAGCGGACCACCAGAAGGTTGATATTCACGCTTCTTTCCTTCTATCTTTGAAATTAGGGTGAAGAGGCCTTCGAGGGAAGCCATCATTACTCCCACCACCACGCCGGAACAGGCTCGCGGGCTCGAAAAGCGGGAAAAGGGCGCAGCGGAAGTCGCCGTTTCGAGTCGGTACCTTTTCTTTTAGTAAAATGGTGGGCTATTTTTTTTGTTATTAACCGTTTCAATTAAGGAATTTGGAAGGTAATTAAGGAATAAGCTACTATTCAAATTGGGGGGGGGCAAAATTTTTTGGGGCGATTTTTGAGCTACCTGGCCAGATTTTTGCAGCTAATCCAGCGTAATAAGAAAAGTTTATTAATGAATTATGTGTGAATTTTTGAGTAAATTAGAAGTATAATAATGTGTAAATTTGTATAATTAAAATTAAAAGACTCCGCTGCAAGCAGGGGAGTTAAACAAACCGAAGCCGCGGAAATCCCACGAAGGGACTGAACTCGCAAGCGAGCGTAAACCGACTAAGCGGTTTGAACCAAACCACAAGGGAATGGCGGGTGCTCTATATAGAGCTGAAAGAGAATATAAAAGGATGGCCTGTTTCGACCCTAAACCAAGACAGGCTGAAGTAACATCAGGGTGGGTCTCCTCAGTTGGATTCCCTGATGCTCCTAGTGTAAGATTGAAAAGGTAATATAGAAGAATGGAGAAAAGAATTTTAGTTAATTTAGAGTTAATTTTGTCTAGATTATTATAGTTTTAACTACTTTTTTCTCTTTTCACCTTCTTCCTATTTTGATTAGATCTATCTTCCCGTGATTGTGGGGCGGGTAAAGAGGCCGCGTCGATAGGAGGGGTATGTAGCCTAGCGTAATAGGGTGGACGGGTGAATGAGATAAAGAAGTAGGTTTGAAAGGAGAAAATTGTGAAAAGAATGAAAAGAGAAAGTAAATACCATGGTGAATGTAGAAAATTTATCAATTTAGCTATTTATTGTTTTGTTTTAGTTTATGTATTATATGTTTAAGGTTGGAATCATATTTTAGGAAGTCCCGGGTGTTTTTTCATAGTTTTAGTGAATAAATTTAGTAGAATATAATTAGGATAGCCATTTTTAACTAAATGTGTGAATAGTTGCTGTAAATGTTTAATAAACGGGTCTAGATTCGAACATTTTCTAGCTATTCTGATAATTTCGCCTTCCACGCAGCCATGTTTAATTGTGTATGAGATATTAGATAAGTAGTTAGGCATGCGTGTGACACTAAAATGATAGTCGTCTACTTTGTTGTATAGTTCTGATTGTATTTTACTGTTTTCCACATATATTTTTAGGTCTAAGAAGTTGCCAGATGTGGATATTAGATTAGTTTGCTCCAGTGTTAGTTCTTTTGGGTAAATTTTTGCTAGGAAGTTTTCGATATTAACCCCAGTTTTGTATAGAATAAGTATATCATCCATATATCTGTGACCTATTACCTTTTCAGTGTAGTTATCTTTTAGAAAATTGTATTCATAGTAACTAAGGGTAAGATCTGCTAACATAGGGCTACAGTTTTGACCTTGTGGTATACCTAATTTTTGTTGAAATAATTGCTGTCTCAAGTCTCAAGTCCTAGCTAGGCTAAGAGGAAGCTCAGTCAAATTGAGCTTCAACAAAGCTAAGCCGAATCAAATCAGTGAAGCCGTGACAAAGCCAAGCTACGGCGATGGTACTTCACCCCGCCCAGAAGCTAAGCTAGGTCTAAGCCTAGGGTAAGCTAAGCCGAAGCCTAAGCTATGCCGATACAAAGCTAAGCGAAGCCTAAGCCAAAAAGAAAAACCGAAGAAAAGGGACTGGAATTATGCGAAAAAATTTTGCCCCCTAACTTGAATAGTACCAGGAATTTTAGTAGTGTAGGACATAAAATACATCGTAAACTTTCAAATATCGAAATTACACAGTTTTCCAAAGCCAATTTGGAATTGGCGAAAAATTTGGCACAATCTTGATTGGCTTTGTGCGGAGATACCACCCTGAGGGGAAACACTTTAGACCATTTTACGTCATTTTCTTCATAAGATTTTACATTCCAGACAATGAAAAACGTGTCCGCAACGCACCGAGCAAGGAGGTCATAGCCCGCAGTGCGAGCAAGGAGACGGTCGAGGACAACACGCAGCGAGCCACAAAACCCGCAAGTAGCACCCCTCCGCGGCGCAGGACAACAAGAAGAGAAAGGTATTTATTTGGATACGCACAACGATTTTCCTTTCTTTTTGAGGCGGCCACGGTGAAGCCGGGCAGGGCGCAGCCGAAATTCACGCCGGAACAAGATAGCGCCGCCGACAAGTTCTGCAACTACATCAAGAGCACCCCGGCCGAACAGATTGTCAGCGATTTCGAGAAGGTGCAGACGTATCCGGAGAAGAAGGGCGACTGCGAAGTCTGCAAGAAGAACACGGCCAAGAATCGATATGGGGTATTTCGATTAATTGTCATTTTGATGCCATTCATTTTCTAGGATGTGCACTGCCTGGATGCGACGCGCGTCGAGCTGAAGACCGATTTCGGCAACTACACCTCTGCTGACGGTGATTACATCCATGCCAACTGGATCTCCTTCGATTGTAAGCTTATTTGGATCAAGTTTGTGGGTTCTTTCGCATTATCGGGGAGGGCAGGTTGCTTCTATTTCTTTTATTTTGAAAATGTAAATAGCGTCGTATTTTTAAACTGGTTTTTACTATCCCTAAACTTAAAAACTACACATTTCATTGAAAAAATATGGATTTTTCGACCAGAAACTGCCGTTTTTGACGAAAATTTCGAGTTTTTGGAAAATTTAAAGTTTTTGGATAGCTTCCAGTTCAAATATAGTTTTATTTTACCAAAAACAGTATGAAAATACTTCCCATTACGTTAAGAGGTATTTCTAGATTATACGAAAAAAACGTCCCCCCGATAATGCGAACGACCAGTTTATGAGCCCCTGTTTCTAGACCTGGAGAGAAAATACATCGCGACGCAGGGCCCGAAGGACAATACGATCGAGGATTTCTGGCGTATGGTCTTCCAGGTGCATTGTCATTCTTCAAAGTTTATCTACAACCTTCAGGAGAACGTGGCGGCCATCGTTTGCGTGTGCAACTTTGTGGAGGGTGGCCAATCGAAGTGTGCGGAATATTTCCCGATAAACGCTGGCGAGTACAAGAACTATGGCAAGATGTTCGTCAACAACAAAAAAGTCGACGACATTGTGTACACGTTGGAAGTGCTGCCCGATGGCTGCTCGAATTCGATCGTCACAAAGCTCATCTTCTGCACGGAATGGCCCGACAAGGGAATGCCGACGAAGGGCGGTATCCCGCTGAAAATCCGCCGTCTCACCAGGGTGTTCATTATTATTGTATTGTTCAATATTATTTAGGAGGCAGGCACGGGACCGGTCGTGGTTCACTGCTCGGCGGGTATTGGTCGTACTGGAACGTACATTCTCATCGAGATGGCCATCCAGAAGTTGCTCAAGGGCAAAGAGCCAGTGGTCGGTCGTTGCGTTTCTGAATGTTTACCGTGTCTTCTTCGATACAGATGATCGATCTCTACAAAGATCTGCGCGATTGCCGGGCATCTTCCGTCCAGAATACGCAGCAGTATCTCTACGCCTACAGCAGCGTGCTCGACTTTATCATCGTGGGACCCTCGGTTGATGCGTCCACAGCAGGAATTTAGACGCGAAGGATCGAGTACAAGCCGTTGAAAACGAAGTTCCTCAAAGGTCTGTGCGAAATCATGGAAGAGGCGGCCGCTGCCGACCCACGCCCCAATTAAACTCGTTCAATGTTAATTGTATTTATGTACTGTGTCTCGAAGAATGGTTAACTGATATATATACAACGGTGAATATTTGCAGCATTGAGCCCGAATAAAGATGCATTTCGATTTATTGTTTTTCCAAGGGGGTTGTAAGTGTTTATTTCGACAGTCAAGGATTGGTCAAAGGCGGCGGGTATGAATTAAAATTTCCGGCGACAGCAAGTAATCGTCTGCTTAATTAAAAGGAGTTGAGCATCAACTTTGAGAGAAGTCATAAGAGAGAGATGGGGAAACGGGGGCAGTACGACGTAATACAAAAAGACAAAGGCATATTCGCGGGTCTGAAAGAGCACTAAAGGTTAATCCAGGGATGTACTCGCAATCACAGATCACGGCCCTCAAAGGCTTTGTGGCAGCTGATGGGCGGCTAGCTTCAGACTTGTTGCGGCTGGGAGGCGACGTGAAGATTGCTCAGGGAGGGCAGTGCTGTGCCAAGCTGTAAAAAATACCATCAATTTGTTCAATACAAAGTTGCTTACCGATTTCTCCGACTTGGCGATCAGGCGTTCCACCATCCCTTCAGCATACTTGAGCCGGTTGCGCAGATCGGCAGAGCACCCGAGCCTAAAGCACAAACAATTGCAAACAAGACCCAAAACTCACTCATGAAGAAGCGAGAGCTTGAAGGTACGGAAGTTCTTCTGGGCATCGATGTACGTGACGGAGCCGAGTTGCGGGCACAGAATCAGCTTCGTGTGGTCCTAAAAGAACAATAATGATCGAAACGCTTGGCAAACCTGGAAGAAGTTGAGCTGCAAAGTGCCGTTGGACAGGTAGAGCACGATGGCCGATCGGGTGCGGAACCAGTTGCGCAGGCAGGGCAGACGGGCCAGCTCATCGCCTTCCTGAAAAACAAGCATAAATAACCACCCTACCATAAAGAAGACCAAGAAATAAGAATAAAAATACCTTGGGAGCAAACTTCTCGCCGGCCTTGATCAGATGCTCGTTCATGTACGAGCGGAAGTACTTGAGCAGCGTCAGCTTCTTCTCCATGGCGCGCGGCATCTCGCGGTTCATCATGTAGTACTCTTCGCGGTCGTCCTTCTCCACGTACTGCATGTTGTTGCCGGCGGCGTCGAGGACGAGCTTGGACGAGTCGTTGTAGAGCACGCCAACCTGAAAAAAAAAGTTAAAACACGGGACATTTCGGATGGATGGACCTCCACTTTCGCCCAAAAAAATGAAACGCACCGAATTGTCACAAAGTTGGTAGCCGATGCCGTACTTGTCCGAATAGTCGACCCATTTGCTGATCCAGAAAACGGGCAGGCATTCGGGGGCCTCGGTCTCATCTTCGGCGGCCAGCATCTCCCTAAAGCCAAATATAAATTCAAGAGACCGATGTACCTGTTGTTTGTAGCCTTGACAACCTCGGTGATCTGCTTGTACAGGCTGCGCACACTTTGGTCGATGGTCTGACGCGGGGACGAGGTGTCGCTTCGCTGGCTGGACGGCTGCGCATTCTCTGGGACTAAAAAAGCAGCGTACAAAAGAAAAGGTATGGCTACCGGTGTGAAGGGGCCGCCCAGGCGACTTCATCATATCCTCGTTGACAATCTGGCGAGCCGAGAGAGCCTTGCTGGGCGAGGGTGCACGGCGCACGCGACGCATTTCGTCCATCTAAACTTGGGATTATCTATTTAGAAAAAAACCCTTACATGTTGATCGAACTTCGGCGCCATGGTGAGGCACGAGGTGGGCAAGCGGTTCGGCAGATAGCCGTTGTGGAAGAACTCGAACTAAAAGAATTATAGTTATTCAAGTCGGGGAGATTTTTCGTCGAAAAACTCAGTTTTCTGCATATAATTTAGCCCTACTCTACTCTCAAGCCTAAAGGAAGCCAATGGCGCCAAGATCACTTAGGTACAGCTCAGTCCACGCCTAAGCTAAACAAAAGCGCGGAAAAGAAAAAAACTCGAAAAACACTCCAAAAAACCGCGCCCACTCGCATAGTACCCAGGTTTTCAACATCAAAGAAAAACAATCGCTTACGTGGCGAACATCGGAGATTTTCGGGCGACGCGACGGCTCCCCCTGCAGCAAGGCCTGAACGAGCTTCGCCGCATCCGGGTTCATCGTAGACGGGATGCGGTAGGTGTTCGTCTTGATCTTCTGGTACGTCTCCTTCAGCGACGCCGTCTCGAACGGGGGGCGCCCGGCCAGCATTGTGTAGACGATGCAGCCGACCGCCCACACGTCCACCTCGTACGAATGCCCGCGCTTGTCGAGCACCTCGGCTAAACGGGAAATTCGAGTAGAAGATACGAAGCTTACGGGCAATGTAGTTGGGCGTGCCACATAGCGTCTTCTTCCTTTCGCCCTCCTTTTCGATCGTCGTCGCAAGGCCAAAATCCCCGATTTTGACCTAAAAACGAACAAGAGTCATGAAAAAAGAAAAACAACACACCTGCATTTCCTCGTTGAGAAACACGTTGCCAAGCTTCAAGTCACGGTGGATGATGTGGCAGTTGTGGATGTATTCGACTCCCTCGGCCACTTGCAGCGATAGGTACCGTGCCTCGGGGTCGGTGATCGGCCCACGGCGCTTGTGCAGCTCCATCAGCGAACGTCGGGGGCACAGCTCGAGTAGTATATACCTAAAACGACACATGTACTAGAGTTAAGCAAAAAAAAAAGGGGGGGCGGGGGGTACTAAAGAATCAAACTTACACATTGTCGGTATCCTCAAAGAAGCCGTGCAGGCGAACGACATGCTGGTGATCGAGGCTGCGATGAATGTGGATTTCCTGGGCCATCTAAAACTCAAATTTTCAAATTGAGAACTGGCACCCACCTTGTCCTTCTGGTATTGCTTGACGAGAAGTGTCTTGGAGACGATCTTGCCGGCCAGGATCGTCTTGGTCTTCGTGTCCATCAGCTCATAGCATCTAGGAAACGAAATTTAAAAACCAGCGAAAGAAAAAAATACCTGGCAAAGCCGCCCTTCCCCAAAAATCGGCCCTTCTTGTAGACGTGCTTCCCATTCACCACGGTTTCCGGCACCTCTTTCAGCACCGGCTTCTCGGTTCTCTTGCTGAGGGACATCCTAAAGCATAAAATTGAGTAAAGCAATCATCAAAGAAGAAAAAATATTGAATCACGATCGATACAAGGTCAATTTCATGGTGAATGGGGGCGCATGCGCGAGATACTGGTTCGAGTTTTTGAACAGTGCGCCCTGTCGCCGTTTCGGGCATGCATAGGCGCCTCTTGGAGCCCTCGAACCCCAGAAAACCTTGGAAAACTGAAGGCTGGTAGCGATAGCACTAACGGCGAATGGAGAAGTCTGCAATCTTCAGCGTCAAATCGAGGCTTGTGTTAGGTTTGAGGCTACCCAAGTGACTTTCAAATCGTGGGTGAAGCCTAAGGATCTAAGGACAAGTCAATGAAAGGTTTGGGTTTGAAACACAGCTAAATGGGGTCGAATTGGCCCTCTACAGCCTGGATAGAATCTAGAAAACTTGGAAAAGTATGTGCCATTGGTTTGCTCTAGCGAAGGCGTGTTAATCCATGCGGCGAAAAACGAAAGCGAAAAAAGCGAGAACAAGAGATAAGATTTCCTGCGCATAAGCATCGAAAGATCTCTTTTGCACGGTTTTCATAGCTTCAAAAAGGTTTCAGTTAATCGGTAAGTAGGTAAAAAAGCGAATCAAAGGGCAATAAAAGAAGCAAAATGACGCACAAACCTAAAATATCCGAGCGGACAACGGACCGAAAAAGCTGCAGAAAAATAAACCGAGCCAACGTTTCGCGAGGTCAGCAAAACCAAGGGGTTACGGTAGTTTTGCCACAAGATAAATCCCCCCCGCGCGTATCGAAACGGAAATTTGGTGAGAAGAAGCACGGAAAAAGCTTGTTTACCTGGCCATGCAGCGGATCAGCACCGCATCAGGATGGCAGCAGGCCGACAGCCAGTCCTTCCGGCTCGGAGCACCAGCTTGAAGCTGGCTCAGCAGCGTCTCGATCATCTGAATAGGAAAAATAACGTCGTTTTACTAACTGAAAAAGTGCGGAAAAATGCCGGAGTTTTTGGTGACCCGCGATCCGAAAAATACTGTGGTGAGATTCGCATTTTTTTTAGGGCTCGGACGTTGGCGTCAACAAACTTCAATATTTTGATATTTTGATTTGCAAGGTGGTTTACAAGCGAAACATTGGTAAAAAGAAATTTTAACGTCGAAAATAAATAGTTATTGGTTTTTAGGCCTTCAGCAGGGCCCGAAAAGGTTTTGAAGGTTACCGATAGGTCCCAGCCCTCATTTCCAAATTAAAATTTAGCAAGTTTGTAGGTTTTTACTCGTCTTTCCTTACCGTAACAATTTTATTCTACGTTATTTTGGGCGGAAATTTAAAGTTTAGGTATAATTTATGATGCTCTATCGAATGGTGTCTTCAAAAGATCGGAAAAATAGCGAAAACCTCGAAAGCTAACTTTTCCAGACCATTTCAAAGCTTATTTGGTGATTCCAGTTTCCCAAAATCTGTATTTTTTCTGCTAGATTTTTCCCAAACTTGATTTTTAGCAGGCGGACTGATCTTTGTCATAATAATGCCTTTAGTCGTTTCCAAAAAGTATTTTAAACCTTTTTAGAATCCGGAAATTTGACCTTTTGGTCACTTTTCATGCATTTTTTACTGAAGTCAAACATTTTCGAGAAATTTATAAGTTTTTCTATGCACTTTTTGTAGCTAAAAACTGTAAAATGCTACAGAAAGGTCGGTACTATTGAAGTTGGGGGGCAAAAATTTTTGGGGATTTTTGGGCTAATTGGTCAGTTTTTCTCTGGCTTAGGCTTAGCTTAGCTTAGTATTGGCTTGGCGGTTCTTTAGGATTCCCGGGGAAAGTATTCCCGGGGGAAAACAAATTTTTTTCGGCGAAAGCCTAGATTTTTGTATAAATTGCGGATGCGTTTCTAAACTGTTTTTAACTATTCCTGTGCATAAAAACTACACACATTTTAACCAAAAAAATGTAAAAAATTAAAAATTAGGTCGAAAAATAGACCCAAAATGACCAAATTTTCGACTTTTTCAAACATTTTTCTAAATTTTTCTGAAAGTTATTCTGCTTTAAATATACTTGAAACTTACTAAAAACAATTCGAAAACACTTTATATTTGATTACTAGGTCAACCGGGAAAACCAGGAAAAAAATTGGTTTCCCCGGGAATACTTCCCCGGGAATCCTAAAGAACCGGCTTGGCTTAGGCTTAAGCTTGACTTAGGCTAGGCTTAGAACTAGTTTAACCTAGGCTTAGGCCTATGCTTAGCCTAAGCCTTAGTACCAGGTCCTTAGCTTGGCTTCGCCACAGCATCATTGCTTTTGGCTTTGACTTAGCTTTGTTCAAGCTCAATTTAACTCTGCTTCGGCTTAGCTTAGCTTAGGAGTTGAGTATTGCGCTGGATTAGCCACGAAAAACTGACCAATTAGCCCAAAAATGACCCAACAAAAATTTTGCCCCCCCCCCCCCAACTTCAATAGTACCGAAAGGTCTTATAGATTCTACAATTATAAAAATGCAGAAAATTTTTGACGTTTTGGTCAAAAATGTATGAAAAATTACCAAAAGGGCCAAAATTTCCGTGTTTTCAATATGTTTAAGCCATTTTTTGTCAACTACTAAACACATTATAGATTTCTGTTATAGGACCGTAGGAGGATTACTGGGGAAAGTAGGTCCCCCCTGCTAAAAGTTCAGTACCAATCCCACTTTTCGATCCCTGAACCCCCTCATAGTATTTTCCTCACTCTAGCCACGGGAATCCAGCTATAGTGTGCCAGTACCATTTCGCAATGGTTGTTTGCAGTGGCTGAGGGGCGCGTGTGTCCTCTTGTTTTTTCAATGCAAAAGGGCATCCCGGTGGGGGCCCAGAACACAACAACAGCTCGGCAAAGTGCACGGGTCCGCCCCCCTTTTTGGCTGGCTCCTCCCTACCCCACCAGAGTATTATTTTGCCCTCATGTTTTCTCAAAGGCTATAAAGCTCTCCAAATGCCCGGGGCTGCCTAGACGTTGCTCAGAATTTGCCTAGGCTTGGCTTTTAAGACATTTTTTTACTTTCCTGTGCATGATCGGGCAAAATTAGGCTTACACGGCCGTCTATCTATAGGTTTAAATCTATAACATAGCTTTTCTAAGGTAAAAAAGTTATTTTTCTTGATGTTTGTCTGTATTTCGCTTGGTTGATTACATTATGGATGGATCTACTTTGTTGTATAACACCGGAGACGCCTAGTTGCTTATTAAGAAGTATTTTCATCGTGTTTTAATGAAATTTAACTGCGTTTGAAGTGAAAAATTATCTAAAAACTTAGAAAATGTTCAAATTTTGGTCGAAAACGGTCATTTTCAGAATAAAAATTGCTAATTCCTGTTTTTTTAATACAAGTTTGTAAAGCTTTTGTGTTTGGGGGATAGTAAAAAAACAGTTTAGGATCACTTGCTCTAGTTCTCTTAGAAAAACAGGATCCTAAGGAAAAAAATTACTTTGCACAGTGCATTTTTAAATTTAAAACGTTTGCTTTTAAAATACTTCGGACTCGATACTCAATACAGTATCCCTTTTTCTTTATCTCCAACCGTGCCAGCGTTTAGAACATTTTTATTTTCAGCAAAACAACCAACCCCCCCAAGCAAACAAAATGGAGATTCAGCAGCAATCCACCGGATTCGGCCGCGTGCCCGTCAAGTCGACCGAGACAGGTTGCTGAAGTTTATAGTTATATAGTTTATGTATTTTTATTACAGTTATTGTCCTTATTTTTAAATCCTAAATTTAGCCCCCCACCAGTGCCGCCCACAAAACCAGTGGGCCCCCGATTCGGAGGTGGGCAAGTGGGAGAACGAGATCGAGGAGATTTTCCATGGTTGGTTTTGAAATTATAATTCTTTTTAAATGTTGTAACGTCACCTATACCTTCCTAATACTTTTAAAAAGGTTTTACTAGGTCTACAACATTAATTTAAACGTCCCAAGCGTCATATCGCTATAATAACATTAACAAAATAGCTTCATTATGGGTTTTGGCGTTTAAAGATTGTTACGTTAAATAAAAAGGAGCATAATTTTCGGTTCTTTCGCATTATCGGGGAGAGGGGAAACAAGATTTTTTTTCGTATAAGTCTAGAAAGGCCTCGCAAATTTGTAGGGAGTTAGTAAAACTTATAGTTTTTAATCAAATAAAACTATATTTCTACAAGAAAAACTATCTAAAAACTTTCAAAACTTTTTAATAATCGAAATCTTCGCAAAATATACAGTTTTTTGGTCGAAAAATCGATATTTTTGTATTTTTAATACAATTTTGTAAAGTTTTTGCGTTTAGGGATAATAAAAAACTGTTTAGAAACACTTTCGATATTGATATTAAAAAATTGGATCCTAAGACAAAAAAATTCCCGCCCCCACCCTGTAATGCGAAAGAACCTTAATAACGTTAACAAACTAGCTTCATCATCATGGGTTATGGCGTTTCAGGAATGTTCCGTTTAATAAAATGAATATAATTCTCGAATTAAGGGGTATGGTAACGGTATTATTTAAAACGTTAAAACTATAGGAAAATTTACGCAAAACAACGTTCAGACGGCAAAGACCACAAATTCGTGGAGGCGGACATTCTGCAGGGCTCGAAGGATTTCCCAACACATTCCGGCATTCAGACGCCCACTTTAGCCGAGGCTTTCGGCCAAAATGGCAAGCCAATTTTTGAATTTTTGGTGGATTTAGCTAGAGTTTTGTCTCTAGCCGAATTGGCCAAATCGCAAGCTTTTTCGGTACTGGACTGTTAGCGGGGGGGGGCGCAAATTTTTGTTTTTTTTCCGGTCATATTTACGCTTTACCTGTATTTTTATAGTGTCTCTGAGTAGTTTTTGACTTCTAGAAAGTTATCAAACATTTTTTTTAATTTGAAAATTCCATTTTTCTTTCATTTGACCGAAAAGTCAAATCATTGCGAAAATTTTTAGATGTTTTGTGACTCTTAAAAATCCAAAATGACCGCGGAAACCCCCCGATAACAGTCCAGTGCCGATTGCTCTCCGGAATCACATCCCCTGCTTTTTGTTGACTAACGCTGCCTTCATGTCCGGTGATTATTAACAGGTTTTTGTGCGGGTTTTAGGTATATTTATGGCCTAGTTATGGTTTAGTTACGCCATGTAATTAGTAATTACGTAGCTTTAAAGTTTTATAATAATTTTAGCGCGGATTTAAAAAAGTTTTTTACTTTTGTATAATTTTTTTTGCTTAATTTTAACACCAAAACAGGCCAATTTATCCCTTTTCAGCTTCTAGAATTTAATTTGAATTTAATAGAATTTAACGCGACTAATTTTGAGCTTGTTAAAGCGCTGGTTTATTGTTTTTAATAGCGGTTAGGATTATTAAACTAGTATAATTAATATACTAGTATTTTTAGGCTTTTAATAACTAAAAAAAATAAAGGTTTATTGGGTAAAAATGATTAGATCTAATAAAAAACTCAGGGGTATTAGAAAAAACGTTATTTTTGACAACGAGAATTTTTCAAAAAAAATGTTTCAAAAACACACTCCCTCACTGGCATCCAAACTGCACGAATTCCGTGCGGATATGTAGGTGAAAAATATTATCATGGACTTTCTAGACGCGGCGCTAGGCCAAGTGCAACAAGTCGACCAGCCACAGACCGGACAACAACAACAACTCCAACAAGTCCCCATGGACTCGGAGCTTTTCCTCGCCCAAGGCCCCACCCAGACCCCCGATATCCAGCCGGAAATTCGTCACGGTCAGTCTTCAAACGGTTAAGGTATTTTTGTAAAAATTAGCTGCTGTAATTTCGGTTCTTTGGCATTAGCGGGGGGGGGGGGGGAACCAATTTTTTTATCCGGTTTTTTTTTGATAAAAAATAGTAATGGTTTTAAGCTTTTTTACCATTCCTGAACGCAAAACCGTTTTTTTTTGCTAGAAAAGCCGAGTTTCG